AACCGGGGGGCACGTTGGGCCCTAACGTCGTAGCGGCCTGTTAACGAGGTTCCCTTTTCGGCCCCGAACCATAAGTAACAGTACGTAGCCAGAAACTAAAATAGGTGCACTTTTACACGCTTCATTGATATATAGATGATCAACCAACGCTCCACCGATCTTAGAACGTCAAGATATAGCGTCCAAAAGAACGTAATGCCAAACAACGAAGAAAATCAACGCTAAAGAAAATGAAGGCTCTTATTTAACTGTAGGTGAATGAGAAGAAAGCTGAACATAACAATTAGATATACAGCGTCCGTATCCAGATTAATGAGTCATCGACTCATCGTCATCCATCGTCGCCAAACCAATATTACATGAAAACTTGTTGGAGAGCGTATCAAGGAGAATGGCAAACTGGAGGGGGTGAAAAACACAAACCACAAATTTTTCTGAAGTCGATAAAAGAAATTCCCCAACCAAGGAGAGAAACAAAAATAGCCTAGACTGGCAACAGGACAGAATGATGATCATCTCAATACCCAACATTCAAAAAAACACGTCCACAAGGTAAATTAGGCAGAAAAATGGAAAGGTAAGTGAAAAGAGGATACGCCTTCATGTAGTGGAGCCCAGGAGTCAAACACCTCTAAATATTCACCAGTACATGACAAAAATATTTGCCAGCCTAATACATGAATTACAGTATTGTTTATGGTGCCCCACCGCTGAAATTTAAATCAAATATCAGCTTACAAGGATAAGAGAGTAGAGTAACAAAATAAACGTTGGAAAATAAACAACGATGCGCTCATTGAAGACCCAATGTTCCCCATATCCTTGTGTATCAGAACCGTTCCAGTGATCGTACTTGGAAACCAAGTATGGTAACTCCTATCGTCAGAGCAGCAAAATGTAACCAGGCACAGTGCACCTAACTCCCTGCTGTAGCGGGGACAGCCATTGGTTTAGCATCCTCAGCTTTCTCGTGTTCCTTGTTTAGCATCTGGCGATGCAAAATAAATATCATCAATGGAAATAGTTGAGAAAATAAAAACAGTAAAGCAAATGTAATGATCAGCCAATAAGCACGGAGCACGGTACAAGACTCCAGCACATAATCACTCAAACAAGTTGATACACGTTTACCAAACAGAAATATACGTCTTAAGAGGTAAGAAGTACTTTTCTCATAGATCCAATTTTTTTCTTCTACACATTCTACAATGACTCGATAAAGTAAAACATTGGAAAAGAACTTACTTTATTATTTATCAAGTTATGAAGTGCAATGACACTCCGAATGAGAGAGGAAAGGTAAATCACTAGCATCATGTCATTGGTTTTCACTGCAAAACATGAAAAGAGATACTGAATGATTTAACTGCAAAAAAAAAAGACAAAAAACTCTCATGACGGTTAGCGCAATTAATTAACATTACCTGAGAAAGCCTTAATTAGTTCAGTCACATTAAGATTCGGAAGTAGATTGAAAACATCCTGCAAGGAAAGTAGGTGAAAAAAAAGGTTCAAACATCAATGGAAAAAAGGCAACAATGGCGTAAGAATGAACATGATAGTCCAGTGAAGTTGACAATTATTTGAGGGGGGAAAAAAGGGAAAAAAACATAGGCTTGATGCTAAAAACAATAAACAAAAACTAATAAAGGAGTGGAAAGACTTCATCTCTAGATGAATCAGGGGGGGAAATCTAATATATAATTCAGATGTTGAGCATGTAAACAATGTAAAACAGAAACCATTTCCTAGAGAAAAAGTTTACTGACATACTTCAGTCAGGAAAATAAGGAAAGATATTAGGACACCTTTTTAAAACACAAATGTCAGTCAATACTGGATAGTTTATCAAAGACTAGGGACCAAAACACTTGTCTTATTGGTAACAAGAACTGAACCTCAATCTCAAGTAAAAATGACTGGTCCGGATGTCAACAATTGAACAAATCTCAGGAGGGAGCAAAAGAAGACTAACATGAATTCCCAATGATATTGTCTGGAAAACCGCATTTGAAAGGATGAGTAAGAAAGAGTTAGTTTTGACATTAAAACTAAGCGCATCAGATTAAAAATGCACACTGGATATGATCAATAACCACCAAATGAGGGTGGTACTAGAACGATAAATAGTACAATGAAAACATATATTTGAAATACGCACTTGACTGTCGTTACACATGGAGAAAAAGGAAGAATGTTTGATAGAACTCTCTATGGACGATGAAAATGAACCACAATGTGGAAACAACCACCAGAAGATAGGCCTTTAGGTTACTCGTGTAGTTTAGGCATATAATTCAGCAAAAAAGGCAATTGAAAATGAGACCCTGCATAAACCCCAAAACTCAGGCAACAAATAACTAATGTAATAGTTCAGGAAACCAAGTGCAAACGATTGCGTGACCTTTTTTTTTAATTGAACATGTTGATTGAATGAATGAATCAACAAAAATCTTTTGCATGCTAACCAATTGCTGAGCAAAAATGATAGAAATCAAATTTTAAAAACATCACCGGTTACTAATACCGAGAACATGAACCAGCAACAAAAGTATGAACAAAATTTATAACATGGTGAGTAAATGCAGCAATAAATCAACATGAGGAGAAACTTAATTATAGATCAGAACTTGACTAAATTTCAACAGAGAAAAATTACAGGGGGGAAGGAAAATGGCTACCTGCAAGTGGTACAGAATCTCATGGTTTAAGGGAAGCTTTCCTTCAATGACAAGAGAAAGATAGGCACGTATCTCACGGAGCCTCGCATCCAGACCCTTCAAGGCTGCAAGTTTTCCAGTAACCTGTTGAGAAAGAGAAAATTAGAAGGTATGGATGCACAACGTATTTTGTGAACTACCACCTTAACTATCAAGAATAGAAGTAGAATACAGGAGAATTACCTCCGTTGCAAGTGTACTAATGGTGGTATCCTTGACATCTCTCAGCAAATGCTCAACTCCTATATAGAAGGTCAATTCATAGTTTAACTATAATTATAAGCTTCCTAACAAATTTCATAATGTAACCTTCCAAATGAACCCATAAACAAATTTGCAAATATTTTAGGAACGCCAATTTCACGGGAATAAAAAAGCACATAGGGATAAGATTGCAGACAGGTAATGAAAACGTCTTAGATTTACCAATTTCCTCAACTTCATGAGCAGCAATTTCTGAGGGTACATGCACAAACACCTTTTGACTTTTCTGAGTTGCATTCTGTAATTACATTTAACATCAATAGGGAATTACTGATCTGCTGCAAGAGAAGGACTAATGACCACATCAAACACTATTAATGGAATGGCTTACCTCTTTGACCTCTTCTACAGCATAGTAAGCTTTTGTAGGTATACCAAGCTCTTTGGGCTGGACGTCAATAATAACCAGAACAGGATTAGGAACATAACTGCAAAAGGAGGGTGAAACTTAACTCTCAGAAAGAAGTAATCCATATAATATAGTCGAAAGCAAGAAAATTCCTATATACTAACACAAAGATATACATTAGGAGGTTTCTCTTTTCCAAATATAAGGTCTCTCCTGCCCTAGGATACCCGGACACTTCATCTAGGTTGTCGTGTCCAAAACTTCACGTATCCGAGTCCGTGTAGGACACTTCTTAAATACATATAAATATTTATTTAGACATGTACTCAATATATATAACAAATGACTTAGTTAAAAAAACTCGTTATACACTTCTTGAACATATTATTGTACACTCAACCTCAAAATTATGCAACTCGTTAGACCCAGAACATTTTCGTTTGAGCACATGCCTAGTTCATAAGTATGATTTTAAGGGTCGTTTCGGTATCTGGTTCAAAAAACGAGAAGTTTTTCAATTTATGATATACTCAATAAAAGAAACATAAAAATGGCATAAGGATTTCAGTTCTCATAACATGTGAATAAAAAACAATATCGGTCCCATATAGATTATTAATTTTAACATGTATGTATATAGTCGTGTCCCTGTATCCTAACTTTTACAATTTTGCCAGACCCATGTCTGTGTCCGCACCCACGCCCATATACATGCAACATAGGGGAACGTTCCTCTTACCTTTTTGGTCGTGGGATGAATTAAACTTGTTAGTTCCATATCACAAGTCGCTCATTCCTTACCAAATATTATCAAATTCCTCTAAAATTTTATTTATATCAGAATATTATCGTGACCAAAAAAAACTTTGTATAATGTAGTCATATACCCTATAGTCATTCATATAGACAAGATTTCCTCAAAAAAGATTATATATCAAGGCAAACTTACTCATTGAACAATGCATGCACATCTAGGTCATTCTCCCGTAGTTTTGGACCTGTGCTGTACCAACCGACAACGTGTTCCTTCGCTGAAAAGAAAAGGGAAAAATAAAATAAAAGATGAGCATGTGTCTACCATTTAATAAAACATCAACTTAAAATGTTCGCTGATAAGAAACCAGGCAAAGGTACCATTTATTCGTTTGAACATGGAAAACATGGACTCATGGTAGTTATGGTCCAGGAACCAGATGCTCGGAACTTTCTCATCTTCTTCAAAGGGCACTGCAAAATAGCATAAAAATGTAAGTGAAGAAGACTTGACTTCATCAAATAAGATGAAAGATTATATAATAGAAGATTATATGCAGTGGACACAATAATGCCGCAAAAAATAAGTTATAAACTCCCACGAAAGCTGATTTAGCTTAAACGTATAGTGCCTAGAATTTGTGGCAGTGTTATAACTAGATTATGGTTGATGAACCCCCTCTCTGCCAACTGTTATGCTCCCATTGGAAGACCTGTACTAATGGGGTCTCAGACCAATTTGGCAATCAGTTGTGGCCATGACCCTAAAAGCTGGTTTCTAATTGAGACCAAAAGCAATATGCTCAATCGAACAAATCTTTGGAAACATGCGTGTACCAGATCTAGAGATCTCTTCTTTGCATTATGTTTCCATGCAAATAATAATAATAAATAAATAAATAAATAAACTTGGGCTCTGTTTGGGAACTGGGATTTGGGCCATGGATTTAAAATTCAAGTTATTTGAAATTCAAAAATCTAGTTTGGGTTTTAATTTGGGCCAAGATTTCAAATCAATTCATTTAACAGAGAGGAATTTGAAAGCCCAAAACTATGGATTTCAAATTTCACACTACCCCTTGTTATTTATCAAATCCCGACCCGACTATCCTTCCCTCTCTCTCTCGTTTCCTGTTTCTCTCCCGATCAATCTTCTCTCTGGATCGCTCGCAGGTAAAATCTCTCTCTATCTCTCTCTCTCCCCCCCTCTCCCCCTCCCCCCCACNCTCCCCCCCTCTCCCCCTCCCCCCTCCCCCCTACAGTCGAAACCCTAGATCTGATCTAGGGTTTAGATCGTGATCTTCCCGGCAAAACCCTAGATCAGAGTTAGTACTCTCGCAATGTACGCTCTCGGCAAGTTCATCGCCTTCATCACCCCTCAAGTCAACCCCGCTGGGATCGCTGATGGGACCGCGCTACCGTCGAGGTCCATCGATGAGTTTCGTCCTTTTGTTCCTCGGCTTCTAGAGTTCAAGTTCTGGTGAGATTTGTCGAGTTTTCTTTTATTTATTTTTTTTCTTTTTCTTTTTGATTGATTTTGTTTTGGATGTTATCTGATTGCATTAGAACATTTTGATGATTAGAGTTAGGGTTTTAGTTGTTTAGACTGAGAATTGGTAATGCGATTGGCTTCTCACTTTTACTCCACTTAAGTGTGTTAGAGAAAAGGAAAAATTATTATTATTAATTTTTTTTAGGGGGGGGGGGGGGGGG